TTCACCTTTTCAAAGAAGCAGCAGGGTTGTACCTTCTTAAAAAGCTCTTTAGACCTAAACTTTATCATCATGATTTCACAGCATTTAGTTTCAGTTTTGTTGTTTCCATTTACATTGTTATCATTGTAAATGTCCTGATTCAGCTTCACTTAAATGTGTTTTTTTGTCCAGCGCTTAAACACCAAAAGAAAAAAATTGACATTTCCAAATTTACAGCAGAACAGAAAAAATGATTTTATGTGAATCTAGGAATCTGTTACATATAGCTTGCTTTTAAAAAAGGGTATCTAATAAATTTACCATGTTAATTTCAAAGCTGTCCTTTTTGTTTCTTTCTGAACTTTCTGTTCTCTTCTGTGCATTTTCTGTGCATTTTCCAGTGCTTGAATGACTCTTTTTACTTCACTTTGCATCCATTCATATGTCTTTCTATATGTCTTTGTATTCGTCATAGAAATTGTTTTCTTTAGTACAGTAATATTTTATTCCATTCTATGATATGTTTAGCCATTCCCAAATCAGTGGGCAGATACTTTGTTTCCAGTTTTTTCCCCCCACAGCAAAAAGGGCTGCTATAAATATTTTGGTATATATGGGACATTTATTTTTAATCATTGACTTCTTTGGGTTAAGAGTGACATTTTAGTCACTTTTAAAAATCATAATTCCAAATTATGTTCCAAAATGGTTAGACAATTTACTGTTCTGCCAGTGGTATATTAGTGTGTGCCTGTGTTTCCATAGCCCCTCCAAAGTTGACTATTTCCATTTCTTGTCATCTTTACCAAATTGTTGGAAATCAAATGAAACCTTAGTTGTTTTTGCATTTTTCTTGCTGGTTATTTGTAAGTCTTTTATAGTTTGCAATTCTTTTTGCAAACTGTTCATATTCTTCAATTTCTTCTTTATTGGGAAATGGCGATTTGTCTTACCTTGTATGTTAATTCTCTGTATGTCTTCAGCATCACAGATATTTAATGCAAAGTTCCCCCCCTTTCAGTTGACCATTTCCCTTCTTATCCTAGTTGTGTTGATTTTGTTCTTGCAAAAACGAAGCCTGTCTTTTTAATACCATTATTTATTTGGTAATATGGCTGCAAGGCATGGAGTACTTGTCCTTTTCAGGATTTGAAATTGGGGATCACTTCCATGTTCAATAGAGAGGCTCATGGTGGTGCAGGCTAGAATGTATTACAGTTTAGAAATTATGTGTTACAAATTGTGTGATGTCATCAGAGAAAAATGCAACAGGAAAAAAATAAGCTGATCACTTAGCAAAAGCAAGGAACAATTAATGAACAGTCTCATGTACTCCACTAGTATCCCCACTATGTCAGAACTCTGGGAAGATCTCAGCATTTGTGAATCCCCTTTGATGAACTTATGGACATGGTCAAAAAGTCACACAGGATGAGTAGATTCAGACAGATTGTGATCCTCACTATTCCCTGGAGGCAATATCCACATTGATGAGATCACAGATCCATTGTGATATGATAGCCCTATCCTTTTAACATTAGTGTTATAAAGGACTTGTAATATAATAAGGTAACTTTCTTTACTGTTCGGAGTTGTGTGTATCTATATTCCACTAGAATTCTCTTATGCCTCACAATGGAACACAATTTTCTAATAGGCCCTACAAAAGGCTTTGTAATTGTGCCCAGTGACAAACTGGCCTGTCATCTAAGGTCCAACTTGTCTAAGTTCAGGAATGCTTATCAACATGTTGGGTTCAAGATGATCCTTGTTGCTGCCATAGAAACTCTCATAGGCTCTCTATTAAGTTCTTAGAGTGTTTGTTGTCATTTGAATTGATGGAGGGAGGTTCTGTTCCTAGGTATTCTTTACTTCTGCTTCTCCTGTCATCTCAGTAACCTCATTAGTTCCCATGGGTTTAACTATCATCTCTATGCAGATATCTTACAGATCTGCATATCTGGATCCAAGTCTTTTCCCTGAGCTTTAGTCTTGCATCACTAGTTGCCTATTGCACAGTTCTAACTGGATGACTCTGAGACATCTGAAACCTAACATGGCCAAAACTGAACTCATCATTTTTCCACTATTTCTGTCAGGGGTATTGCAATCATCAATGTTGACGTTATTCTGGACTCCTTACTTTCACTTCCATATCCAGTCATATGTCAAATTTTGCCATTTCTGCCTTTAAAATATTTCACTTCTGACCCATTCTCCACTCATACTGCTGTAAGGGTAATTCAGGTAGATTATTGAAATAGCCTCTTAATTGTTCTCCATTGCCTTAAGTGACTCACTGCTCTAGAGTATCCTACACACTGCTGCCAAAGTAATTTCTTTATGTGTAGATTTGTCTAGTGACTCCATTATTCAATCAGCTATAGTAGTTTTCTTTTGCGTTTAGGATAAAATGCAAACTCCTGTTTAGTTTTTAAAGCCCTGCACAACGTTTTCCCAACCTACCTTCTAGCCTCGTTGGATATTACTACCTCTGCCACACTCAGAGATCCAGCCAAACTAGCCTTCTCCTTATTCCTCAATCACCCTACTCCATCTCCCTTGCCCTTTGGGTTAGTTGTCTGCCATTCCTGGAATGTCCATTCCATTTCCGCTTACCTCCAGCTTACAGAGTTTCTCTTTTCAAGGTGCAGCTGAAGCACCATCTTTTTCTACTCACGATTGGCTACTAGAAAGTACAGATATTAGCTAAAATTGCCCTCCCCCCCTTTTTACTCAAGATGCAAATATTTTGTATTGGCTTAGGCTGAGCATTTTCATCATATTCATTCATTGCTCTTTTCAGTATTGGCTACTAGAAAGTATTCTGATTGGTAGTGAGGCTGTGTATTATGGTAAATCTTTTTCTTTATGATGGTTCAGTAGTGACTTGCCTCTTTTTGCTGAGTCCTTATTTAATTTTAAATACCTCTTTTGTACTTGAAATTAATTTTTTTCCCACAAAGATGTGATATATTCCTGGGCCTGGGATCATAGAATTTTGTAACTGGTGACATAATCTACTAATCCAACCCCCTATGTCTCTCCTGATATTATGACTTTCCAGTCAAAAGTCAACTATCTTCTTCCCCTGTCTCTTCAATGCAATTGTTTTATGATTGGTCAATGATAATTAACAATGGGCCTTGATCCTTTGAGTATTCCCCAATTATATCGACTTCAAAAGATATTTTGGTCTTGGGTTAGACAATAATAAGTACTTCATTGCATCAAAGAGTCAAGTGCTCTATTATTTTCCTTATGATTTTTTTTTTGTAAAACTAAAATATATTTTAAACAATATGGCCTATTTAACATTAATCTGTTTGTGTTTGATAAACTGCATTAGAGTGAATATGGGGTAGGATAAAGAACAAAGGTGTTGGGGGACAGAAGACCTGGTTTTTAAGCCCTGACTCTGCTTCTCATTATCGTTGTGATTTGGTGCAGGTCACTTAACCACAACAATAATAGCTTACACTTCCTTAGTGCTTTACCCTTTACAAATATTTTCTCACAGCTTTTTGGGATATGTATTCTAAATATCATTTACCTTCATTTTGTAGGTCAAGCCACTAAAGCTCAAAAGAGTTTTAAGTAATTTGACCAGAGTTATTCAGCTAGGAAAATATCAGAACCTCTACTCTTGATTCCAAGTCTAGAGTCCTTTTCATTGTATCATTTAATATCTCTGGACCTCAGTTTCTTCATGTGTAAAGTGAGGGAATGAGACTAAACGATCTTCAAGGTTCTTTAAGTCACTTGCCTTTCCGGGCCTCAGTTTTTCCATCTATTAAATGGATATAATAATATCTACACTACATACCTCCCCAGGATTTAAGGATCAATTGAAATAGTGAATTCAGATGCCCTTAGTTAACTGTAGAAGTGCTATGTAAATGTATAGTATAACTATTATTTCAAAGGATCATAGATTAAGAGTTAAAAGGGATCTTTGAGGCCAGTTAGTCCAACTCTTCCCTTCTATAGATGTGGAAACAAATTTTATTACAGACAAGGAAACTGATTTCTTTAATGAACAATAAAAGTTTTCTGAAGAAGACTGAAGGATATCTACTTGTAATTTTTTATTTATGTGGACTACACTGTTGTGATAAAACCGTAGAAAATTTAGAGAATTATTTTCCACTTTTACTAAAGAACTGGGTATGTTGTTTGAATTATGAATTTGAACTTAATTTTTCTTATATTACTTTAGCACCTTGTTTCTTTCACTGAAGGCCTTCATTGTGACGTAGAGACGACTGGACTATTGAAGAGTATGCCATTGGAACTTGAGCTCTGGAAGATCCTACCAGACTGTAAAATGTTGAGAATAAACCTGGCAATGGTTTTGCTCACTGGACTTAAAGCTAATTTAAAAATAAAGAAGGATTGATTGGGAGCAGCTAGGTGGTGCAGTGGATAGAGCACTAGCCCTGAAGTCAGGAGGACCTGAGTTCAAATCCGGCCTCAGACCAAACACTTGACACTTACTAGCTGTGTGACCCTGGACAATTCACTTAACCCCAATTGCCTAAAAATAAAAAATTAAAATTAGAAAAAAAAAGGATTGATTATCTTGTGATTTTTTTCCCCCAAACTTTGCCCCATTCTACCACTGTTATGTTAGGCAAGTCACTTTACTTGTTTGGGCCTCATTTTTCTTATCTGTAAAGAGACGGGGTTGGACTAGATGACCTGTGAGTCCCTTTCACTTCTAAATCTATGATCTTATGAACTCATTAAGACCATCAACTAAAGCTTGGAAGCTGAAATTTGCATTAGTGAGTGAGGAGTACTCATACATTGAAATCAGAGCTCTTTGAAATATTTAAAGTAGTGACTTGCTTTATTAACATTGATCAGCTTTTTAGTACATTGTACCTCACAGGATTATGTTTTTAAACTGTAAAGCACTATATAAATGTGAATTACTTTGATATCTTTCTAATCATCCCTAAGTGAGTAAATACCATTTTTTTCAATGTAGTAACTTGACTTTTTACCTTGTCCTTTAGGATTTGACTGGTATCGAGTCTATGGATCAATGTCGTCATACCCTGGAACAACACAACTGGAACATAGAGGTACACTGATTGGACGTTTTTGGGGAGATATTTTCTTTTGTAGTCTTATGAAGAATCAAAAACCCCTCAAATTTCTCTGTAATGCCTTCCTTAATGCCTTGTTCCCTTTCTCCCACTTAGTAATGACTATTCTATAATTTTAATTCAACACGCATTTTTAAAGTATTTTTCCAAGACACTATATTTGGTGATGGACATATATTAAAATAATAAATAATTAAATTTAAAAATTAAAAATTAGCCACTTTTCCTGTCAGAGAGTCTGTAGTTACTTATAACACAGGAAATTATACAAACATAAATGAGTATGATATAAGAATGTTATAAAAATATAGGAGAGAAAAAATACTGTAAGAAAATGTGAGAAGGGGAGTTTCAAGCTAGGGACTTTTGAGGATGATTTCATTGAGAAGAGAGCATCGATTTAGGGTCTTGAAGAAATGAAAGGATTTCTACAGGTATGGTTGTGAAGGAAGAACAATGAGAAAGGGGTTAATATTGGAGAATACCTAATAGTCCAGCTTAGCCGAATTGAAGGAAACATCAAAGGGGAATAGTCTAAAATAAGAATAGAAAAGTAGTTTGGCACCAGACTGTGGAGGGTCTTAAATTTCTTGCTAAGGAGTCTTTATTTTATCTTAGAGGCAGTAGGGTATCACTGAAGTTGGTTTTTTGTGTGTGTTTTTTTTGTTTTGGTTTGGTTTTTTGGTTAGGCAAGTTACTTAACCCCCATTGCCCAACCCCCCCCAAAACAAAACAAAACAAAACAAAGAACAGGCAGTGGAAATACAGTGATAAGAGCAGTGGCACTGGAGTCAAAGAACCTAGATTTAAATCCTGCCTTCCAACTCTTACTACCTGTGTAACCCTGGGCAAGTCACTTAACCACCCAAAGCCTGAGTTCCCTCACTGGCAAAACAATGGTGCTCTGAGATACTTTCTGTGTTGGTTTTTTCTCAACTTTTTTTTTTTAATGTTACAAGAAGCGGTTCAATTTGGGAAGTAGGATCATGATATAAAAACAGAAAGAATCAGAATAACTTTTTTTTTTAAAGGTTATGGTTGACCATAGAGAGGGTAATACCAGTTAAGTAGTGGGATCGGAAGCCAAATGGTAGTATCTCAGGAGGAAATAATGTGGTAATAAAAGTAATTTACTAGTTAGCAGAGATGTGGGGCAGTAGATTGAAGGGTTGATAGGAGCAAGGGACTTCAAGGTTCTTTTTAGGATAGAGGAATTTTTAACCTAAGCAGGTTTATAGACAAAAAACAGATAGTAAGAGAAATCATAGGTGAGAGAGTGAGGGAAAGATCCCTGGAGCAAGGTTTCTAGAGAAGATAGGATCAAGGCCACAGGCAGAGGAGTTGACCTTGGCAGAAGGAGGGTCCCCTTATCTTCCCAGACTGGAAGACCAGGAGAGTATAGGTGAAGATATAAAGAGATTTTGAATTGCAAAGGGAATGTAAAACAATTTGCCTCTAATCATCTGATTGTAAGAATTGGGGGCTTAAAAGGAAATGACCATTCATTCCTCCTTTATTTACATCTTATGCATATAAACTATTACTTTGTTGCTTTTTAAAAAATTCTTTTTAAAATTGGTTTCTTTTGTTTTAGCATCACATTTATATCTGAATATATTCTTCCCACATCCTTTACTCAGCAAGCCGTTGTCTTTTATAACAAAGAGGGCTCCCCCCCCAGAAGTACTTCAGCAAAACCAACCAATATATTGACTGTCTGAAAATGAATTACTTTGTATATGTCTCATATGCTTCTATAAATGAATGAAAAATTATTAAATGCTTACTGTGTGCCAAACACTAGCTAAGCACTGGGATACAAATAGAAGAGAGAGACTATCCCTGCTTCCAAGGAATTCACAATCTGATGGAGGGAGAAATGCACATATGAGAATTCATCTGAAAGGTAGATGGCAAGGCCTAAGAGTCTTTAGAGTACATCATAAGATCAAATGACAACGAATGCCCAGAGGTCTGGAGAGTATAAGGTAATACTTTTCCATCTAAACTGGAAGTAATGTAGTTGAGCAGCCATGTCTGCCTGACAAGAAGGTTGGAGCTGGGAGACCCTGAATCACCACTTTTGGGAAGGGAGATGTGTGGACCTGAGGATCAAGGTGGAAGAGTGGGGTGGTGGTGGGGATCCTCTAGCAGGAGGGGTCGTCATCCATACAGGAGGTGGCATCATCCATACAGGAGGTGGTAGGGTAAAAGGAGTTAGGTGGCAGAGCTAGTACCTGCTTGGTCCTTCAGTGCCTTGATGGCTGGAAAGTAGACTGAAAACCCTAGAAAGACTGTAATCTCTGTGAAGGGAGGGTACCTGTTTTATCTATATTTTATGTTTACCACAATGTTTAGCGTATAATAAATGCTTAGTAAATATTTGTTGAATTGAACATGTAGATTTTTTTTTAAAATTTGGTTTCTAGTCTCTAAAGATGAAGGCAGTAGATCTAGAAGATGGAAAGTATAGGAATTTTTGATAAAAAGTCATGTAATTTCTGGCTAGATGTAGAGTAAAAATGAACTTGTTCAAATTGTGACAAATAAGAGTTCTTTACTTTAACTGGCTCCTTATATACCATAGCTACTTCTCACAAAATAGTAACTTAGAAGCCAAAGAGGTGGTATTGGCCCAAAATATCAATGAGTTCAAGGATGGCTTAGATCAGCAGTGTCAGTTTCAGATAGAATCAGATGCCTGCAGGCTACATATTGACTTAAAAAACTACAAATTAACATTATCTATGTTATATTTATATTTATTTTGCTAAATGTTTCACGATTATGTTTTAATATGGTGGCCAGCACTTAGATAACTATGAATGTTATTTGTGAACTATTAAAGGAGTTCAGATGTTTGAATATCAGTCGTCAATCAACACTGTGTCCCAGGTACTGTACTAGGGTCTCAGAACACAAAGATAAAAGTGAAAAATTTCTTGCCTAAAAGGAGCTTATATTCCATCTACATCACTAAACTTTTGAAGTTATATGATAGGTATTGATTATTGACTCTAGTTTCAAAGAGTGTATACTGGACTAAGTGAACCTATTGGCCTGATCCAGAAAATCTTTTCTTATTTATTTACATTGGCTTAAGCCCCACGCCTCCTCTCTCTCTCTCTCTCTCTCTCCCCCACTCTCACCCCCATATATAGGTTACTTTTATTAGGGCTACCAACTCAAATATTTTTAAATGCTTGTGATTAGAGTTCTTTAGAAATCAGTCTCAGTTGTTTACATTTACTTGTTTAGAGCCTTAGACTAGTATATTTTTAACTATAGTCATTTACTTTGGCTGTTGTAATCACACCACTAAATTGCATATTCCATTCATTTAAAGAATGTTTATTGAACAGCCCTTATGTCCTTAGCGTGGTACTGTGTCCTGTGGGCCCTTGAAAAGAAGTTTTAAGTTGAGATACCTGCACTTAGGAAGCTTACTTACCATTTTGTGAAGGAATTAAAGCTATTATACATACAGCCATTAGAAAGGGCTTCTATAAAGGAGGTCAGATTAAACTGGTTAATGTGAAAAGCAGTATGATGTTGTGGGGAGAGTGCTAGATTTGGAGCCAGGAAGATAGTAGTTACATGACCATGGGCAAAGCATTTAATATCTCTGAGCTTCTTCTAAAGACTTAAAGGAGGGGTTGTAGTGTACGTTGGTTGAGGGAATTTCCACATCAAAATATATGTATCCTTCACATTTTGATATAATTAGAAAGAAGGGTGAAAAGAGTTTTGAGTAGGGGAAGATATTATGAATAAAAGCTCAGTGGTAGTTCTAAATAGACCCAAGCTGCAGAAAAAAAAGGATAGTGGATCCAGATTGTGAAAGTATTTGAATGGCAGGACAGTTTGGACTTTTTACTGGAGGCATTGGGGAGCCATTGATCATTTTTGAGAAGAGGAGGCAGTTGACATGAAAGCAGTGTCATATGAAGAAGTAGAGAGTGATTGGATAAAGAGATTAAAGCCAAATCCAAGATATTCCATAGTTTCTAGACTGAGGTGTTGGCAAAAGTGGTATCTGTAGTATTTGCCAGACTTGTTTATTGAGATACATGTTTATTATAACAAGTTTAAGTCCAAATGTACTTCTTTTTTGTCTTTTAATTTAATATTTTACTTTCCCCTAGTTACTTGTAAAAATAACTTTTAACATTCATTTAAAAAAATTTTTTGAGTTCGAAATTCTCCCCTTCTCTCCTCCCCTCTTTTCACCTACCTCCCCTTGCATTGAGAAGGCAAGCGATTTGATATAGGTTATACATATGCAGTCATGCAAAACACATTTCTGTGTTAGCCATGTTGTGAAAGAAAACAGACCAAAAAACCAAGAAAAAGAAAGTAAAGAAAAAATATACTTTGATCTGCATTCATACTCCATCAGTTCTTTCTCTGCAGATGGATAGCATTTTTCATCATAAATCCTTCAGAATTGTCTTGGATCATTGTATTGCTGAGAATAAGTCTTTCACAGTTGATTACCTTACAGTATTACTGTTACTGTATATAGTGTTCTGGTTCTGCTCATTTCATTCTGCATCAGTTTGTATAAGTCTTCGTAGGTTTTTCTGAGAGCATCCTGCTCATCATTTCTTATAGTAGAGTAGTATTCCATCACAATCATATGCAACAGTTTGTTCAGCCATTCACCAATTAATGGACATACCCCCAATTTCCCATTTTTTGCCATCACAAAAAGAGCTGCTGTGAATATTATTGTACGTATAGGTCTTTTTCCTTTTTCTTTGATCTCTTTACGATATATACCTAGTAGTGGTATTTCTGGGGTACAGGGTATGTATAGTTTTATAGCCCTTTGAGCATAGTTCCAAACCTAACCTTTCCCTCCGCCCTCTCCCCTTCTCCCCTTTTTTCTTTCTGAATTTAGAAGCTGTTTATGCCTTTCTAAATATATTGTTCCCTCTTTATCTCATTCCCATTAATCTTTCTTAACTTTTTTA